CAATTTAAAATTCATAATTTAATTTAGGCCAGGCCGGCTTGCTGAAAAAGCCAACTTTTTAGGAAGGAGCGGAGGTCGGGGATTATGCGAAGCTCCGGGGGCAGCTCATTCCAAAGGGAAGGCACTCCCACAGAGAAGGCTCTCCCCTGGGGGTCGCCAGCCAACACTGCCTGGCCGACGGCGCCCTGAGGAGGCCAACTCTGTGGGATCATACTGGATGGTGGGAGGCTACCGGTGGTAGTAGGTGGTCGCGTAAGTACCCTGGGCCTAAGCCATGGAGCGCTTTAAAGATAATTAACACCTTGAATAGTATCCGGAAAACAACCGGCAACCAGTACAAGCCGCCTAAAAGGGGCATAACATGGGAGCACCTAGGTACCCTCATGACAACCCATGCGACCGCATTCTGAACCAGCTGGAGCCTCCAGGTGCTCTTCAATGGCAGCCCCATGTAGAGAGCATTACAGTAGTCCAGGCAAGAAAGACGAGGGCGTTAGTGACTGTGCACAGGGCATCCCGATCCAGGAAGGGGTGCAACTGGTGTACCAGGCAGACCTGGTAGAAGACCCCCCTGTTCTTCCAAACTAAGCCGCGTCTCCAGGAGGACTCCCAGATAGCGGGCCCTCTCTGAGGGGGCTAAAATTTCTCCCCCTATCATCAAAGATGGTATGAGATTTCTTCCCCAAACTCCTACAACTTTAACCTTAACCCAACTTTAACACACAACCAAGTGTTGACCTCACCCCATTCCTAACACGTCTGTAAGGGACGTGCATAAGTGCATCAATGTCCCTGTCCTAACAACCCCATTGATTTGTATCCATTTCATATATTCATAATCTTGTATGTACTTGTATCTATTATCTTATACATGCTTGACAAAACAAATAAATAAAATGTAATTTCCAAAGGACTTAGATATAATCCTCAAGTCTCTACAAAACTTGCCCCTGAGTTGTAATTTTTATATATGAGTGAATTAAGTACATGGGAAGTAATCCCATTAACCTTATTTAGTTTTGATCTGACCCTACTTAAGTTCTTTAGCCTGGAATCATTTGTGTCATTCCGAGTCCAAGGCAGCAGTTCGAGGACCCTGCTGAAATACTTTGCATTTCTACTTTAAGCATATGATCAGCGAAGATCCCATCCATTTATCTATGTCCTTTTTCACCCACAAGAATTTGAAGACATGAGTATTGAAACATGGATTCGTTTTGAATATGGATTTACTATCATTATGCTAAATGTATCCAACACGACTTCCTCTTCCTATCTTCCCCACAACAACAACCCTGTAAGGTGGGCCGGGTTGAGAGAGAAGGGACTGGTCCAAAGCCACCCAGCGGGCTTTCATGGCTATAAGGCAGCTCTTGTGTTCTCTCGCTTTCTAGCCTGATGCCTTTACCACTAGACCAAACTAAAGGTAAAGGTTCACCTCGCACATTTGTGCTAGTCATTCCTGACTCTAGGAGGCGTGCTCATCTCTGTTTCAAAGTCGAAGAGCCAGGGCTGTCCGAAGACGTCTCCGTGGTCATGTGGTTGGCATGACTAAACGCCGAAGGAGTGACAAAAGGGACGCAGTGGCTCGGTGGCTAAGACGTTGAGCTTGTTGATAAGAAAGGTTGGCAGCTTGGCGGTTTGAATCCCTAGCGCCGTGTAATGGAGTGACTCCTGTTACTTGTCCCAGCTTCTGCCAACCTAGCAGTTCAAAAGCAGGTAAAAAATGCAAGTAGAAAAAATAGGAACCACCTTTGGTGGGAAGGTAACAGACCAAGCTAGCTCTTATCCAATCTTTAGAAAAGTAGTGAAGGATCTTAAAGTGATATAAACTTCCCTTTGTATACTTAATTGTAAATCCATAAACAAATATATGCTCCTTTATTTATTGAGCCTCAACATTATACGGCACCAGGTCAACAGTGTCTCTATCACTCAAGGCTCTCATCATAATTATGAAATGTCTATCATTCACATCCAGACAATATGGTACTTCTTTGCAGCATCATGCCCATAGATCCATATCGATTTATATCAATCTTCATGCACCTGTATCTGAGCTACAATTCCTTTCATTCCTAGCTATAAGCCATGGCCAATGGCCATGCTTGCTGGAGATGACACAGATGTTGTAGTCTACAAATATTTGAAGAATGCCAGATAGAGAATGTTGAACTACAGCATGTATGTCACACTCCATCCGCCTGATTAGCAAGGTGATTATTACAGCTACTGATAAGATACCATTACGCTTATTAAAATTATTCCAATTAGATTTTTACCATAGTAAAAGCATTGCTAACAAAAAGCCTCTGTAGTCATGTCTTGAGCATTAGGGGAAAAGTCCCATAAATTGCTAATTTAGTTATTGGAGCCAATTAAAATACTCCAAAAGGACATGCAAGATTGTGAGTCATTATCGGCCACATATTCCCAAAATCACAGAATAGGGCAGAAAGAAAAAGAAAAAGGTATAAAAATTAGCCTAGATTTTAACCCAGATTGCTTAAATTGCCTGGTTTGGGTCTCATTTAGAATATATTTTTATTTAGTTTTTTAATGCTTTTTATTGCTTTAAAATGTTTTTATTGCTTTAACTATATATTTTTTGAACTGAAGAGTCATTGACTGAGATGGATGGCTATACAAACTGAATAAATAAATATCCCCTCACTTTGAACATTAAAACTGCTCTAGAGATGTACGTTTCCATTTCAGCAATTTGAAGATGTGAGGACTTCAACTCCCAAGATTCTCTAAATCAGCATGTTTAAAGGCGGATTTAAAGCTCCAGATTTCCTAAATCAGCATTTGCCACGGACTTTCCTGGGGAAAATGTGCTGGGGAAATTTTGACAGCTGAAGTCATGCATTTTAAAGTTGCCAAGGTTCAGAATCATTATTCCAGAGCTGCGGTTATTAAAGTGTGCTTTGGGGACCAGTGGGAGTCCCTGGGATCTCTCTGTGGATCTGCAAAGTCAAATAAATGTTTAAAAATGTCTCCATTTTAATTTCTAATGCAGGAAATATCAATAGCTGCAACCCACATAAACCAATACTCTTTGGGGGCCTTTAGTCATTTTTAAGAACGCAAAGGGATTCTGAGACCAACATGTCTGAAAACTGATACTCCACAGAAGTAGTTTTCAAACCGGCAACTTTTAATTGTAGGGATTTCAACTCCTAGAATTCCCCAGCCAGTATCAAGATTCGAAGCAACCATTATCACTTCTCAGCTTGCCAATGAACCGGGAAGGGGAGGGGGGGAGATTGCATGTAGACTCCAGACATCAAGAAGATAGCTGTGAGAGCCAAGGACACTTCTGAAGGTGTTTGCCAGAGCTAAAGACTTTTTTCTCATAACAATACAAAGAGATTCAATTGGACAAAGTCACCTGTTCTAATAGGGGGAGGGAGAATTCTATATTTTAATTATGTGGGTTTGCACGGAAATTAGTTAGATCTGGTTTTGCCCTCATCAGTGCTGAAATGATGTACTCAATAAAGTACTGCATTCATTTCGCTCGTGCTTGCTTTGGTTGGATTCGTCAGTTAGAACATTGACAGCCAGCATGTTTCAAATTGTGTGGTTGGGGAAATTCTGGCAATTAAGGTCCACCCCTCTTAAAGTGGCCCAGGTTGAAAAACATGGCTCTAGAGCAAGGGGTGTGTGTGTGTGTTCCAACCTTGACAACTTGTGGACTTAGCTCCCAGAATTCCCCAGCCAGCATAGCATAGCAGGCTGGGGAATTCTGGGATTTGAAGTCCACAAGTCTTAAACTGCTGGAGAATTCTGGGAGTTGAAGTCTTGAAAGCTGCTAAATTGGACACCCCTGAATTAGATTATGAACCTCAAAAGCAGACTGGGGAATTCTGGGAATTGAAGTCTTGGAGGAGAGGAGGGGGTCAAGATATTTTCCAAGGCACCCGAAGGCCAGACAAGGAACAATGGATGGAAACTGAACAAGGATTGATTCAACCTGGAAATAAGGGGGAAGTTTCTGACAGTGAGATCAACCAACCCATGGAACATAAGTTGCCTTCAGAAGTTGTGGAAGCTTCATCCCTGGAGGCTTTCAAGAAGAGACTGGACTGCCATCTGTCAGAAATGGTGTAGGGCCTCCTGCTTGAGTGGAGGGGGATTGGACTAGAAGACCTCCAAGGTCCTTTCCAACTCTGTTATTCGATATTCAATGGAATGACTTTCCTTCAGAGGTTGTGGGAGATTCATCCCCAGAAGCCTTCAAGAAGAGACTGGACTGCAATTTGCCTGAGATGATGTAAGGACTGCTGCTTGTTGGACTAGATGACCCCCAAGGTCCCTTCCAACTCTGTTCGTCTTAAAGCTGCCATATTGGACACCCCGACTTAGATAAGGAACCGCAAAAGCTGGCTGGGGAATTCTGGGAGTTGAAGTCCTCAAGCTACCAAGGATGGAGACCCCTGCAACGGCTCATTATTTCGACTATTACATGAGATCGAACCCCGCATCCTTATTTTTATTTAAGGTTAATAACGGCCCTACTTTTGTCCAGGAGGCCCAGGCGTGGGGGGGAGGGAATTTAGGGGCACTCCCTGCCCCTCTTTCTTCCACACGACCCCTTTATCAGAGAACAGGCGCCTCCAGCCCCCCGCCCCCACCGGGGCTTATGACGTCATTCCCCACAACAATCCTGCGAGGTAGGCCTGAGGGGGGGGGAAAGAGACGGAGGCCTAACCGACGCCTCCAAAGCGACCCCCGAACCTCCCCCTTCCTCCCTCATCCCCCAGCGCAAAAGGGCATGGCCAGGGGCGGGTCACTCACCTGCCGCCACGCCGCTGTCCCTTCGGCCCGCTGCCCCTCCCACACCCGGCCACGGCTGAGGAAAAACGACGCGTCGCCGCCTCAGCTGAAGCCGCGAGGGAGCCGCGAGCGCTCAGCCCTCGACGTCACCGCGCCGGGGCGGGCCTTCGAGCCGCCACGGAGCGCCGCTCGCGCCGGGTGACTCCACCCCTTTCCACCTTTTGAGCCTCGCCTTCTCCCTCTTCCCAGCGCAGTCTCTTTCCCCGACCGACCAATCGCAGTTCGGGTTGTCAGAAGCGGACGGCGCCTGCGCAGAATATTTCTCGCCCCCCCCCCCCCCCTCCCTCCCTCCCCTGAAAAGGCTGCTAGGTGGGGATATCTTGAGGCACTCGACCCCAGTTCCCGCGCGTCTCTTTCTTCCCTGACACGTCAAAGGCTTTTGGGTCATCTTTGTGCGTGCAAGAATGGGGGCGCGGGGTGGGCGGTGGCGGTGACAGGCATGCATCCTGTTGGAAGGACATGGGTTTCGAGCCCGCCCTCGGGCCCGTGGCCCAATGGGAAGCCCGTAATTATTTGCCCAATGGTTCTGATTGAAGCGGGGCATCTGTCAGTGTGATGTGGCCTTTTGTGGGCATGGAGAGATGGAGATGGAAAGATAAGGATGAGGTTCGGACGGAAGAGAGAAGAATAGAATATGAAATAATTAGAACAGAATAGAATAGATATTGGAATGAAGAACAGAATAGGAATGGAATGGAATAGAATAGGAAACAATTAGATTAGAATAAAATAGAATAGAATATAAAATAGTTAGAACAGAATAGAATAGATATTGGAATGAAGAATAGAATTGGAATAGAATAGAATATGAAATAATTAGATTAGAATATGAAAAAATAGATTAGAATATGAAATAATTAAAAGAATAGAAAAGAATTTGAAAAAAATAGAATAGAATATGGAATAGAATAGAATATGAAATAATTAGAAGAATAGAATAGAATAGAATAGAATAGAAGAATGGAAAAAATGGAATGGAATTTAGAAGAGCAGAATGGAAAATGGAATGGAATAGAATAGAATAAAACGGAATAGAATATGAAATAATTAGAATAGAATAGAAAAGAATAGAACAGAACAGAATAGAGTACAGTAGAGCAGAGTAGAACAGAATATATAGAATAATGAATAAGTGACATTTGTAGGAACTAAAATATATATCCATAAAATGTCAAGAATCAGCTCAATCTTTCACATGTTATTAAATGTTGATCCCGACCATGGGTGTCCAACCTTGCCAATCCTTGTTGACTGGGAAATTCTGGGAGTTGAAGTCTACTGGTCCTAAAGTTACCAAGGTTGTTCAGTCCTGATCTAGACCATCTCAATCAAAACATCATTTTGATACAACGTTATTTCAATACAATGATACTGTGTTTATAAAACACATTTAGATTGTTGCTATTTTATTAGGTGCCTTAGAATGTTAAAAGTAGAGAAAGAAAAAGATCTTTTGCCTCCTACTAATTCTTCATAATTGCCAGATTTGAAATATTAACCTATTTTGAAAAGAAAGTACAGGGGTCAGCTTAGAAGGGATGAAATGTCATTGTATCCTGAAGATCAGCATTAAAAAAAAAATGACCCTCACCTAGAATGAAGGAGTCCAGCATGGGACAGCATGTTCTTTGGCACGAAAAAGCCTTTTCTATCAACTCTTTTCTCTTGGCTCAGAAAAGAGAGTTGTCATTTCAGTTTGCTGCCTTTCCTGTCACAATTCCAACTAATCACAGCTGCAGACAATATGAGAATTTGAGCCCCATGATCCAAGGACAGAAAGTCCAGGTTACCCAGCCAGCTAAATAAAGGTAGAGGAGATGAAAATGACATGGACATGAGCATCATGTTTTTTTCCTAGCAAAACATCAAAGGTTTTTCAAAGAACAGCTATGCAAAGAGCATAGCTATGTTTACTATGTTTAAAATACTGGGTTTTTTTTGTAGAAAACAAAAGCCACGATTCTCTTATTTTGTCGGCATGGCCCATTGAGATGGTGAGATTCTGTAAGCTGCCAGTTATAATAATGTTTCCCTCCACCCACAAATGAATTGATTTGATTTGATTTGATTGCACTTATATGCCGCCCTATTCCCGGAGGGACTCAGGGCGGCTAACAAACCAAAAGGAGGGAATACAGACAAGAGGAAAAACAACAAACAAGCAACTACAGAAAGAATTTAAAAACAATCAACAGCCACACAATTCGAGCGGGGACGGGAACTCGTCAACCCCAGGCCTGTCTGAACAGCCAGGTTTTAAGGGCTTTGTGGAAAGCCTGAAGGTTGGTGAGGGTCCGAATCTCCACGGGGAGCTCGTTCCAGAGGGTTGGGTTTTTATTAGAATAAAGAACCATCAATTCACAACTGTACAACAACCTTGTTAGGTATCAGTGTTTGGTTTTAAATTCTTTCTGT